ATTGATCCGGTCTTTTTAGAACCATTGTCCACCAGGCCATTACAACTAGGGTGGTAACACGTGTCACACTCTCTATCCTTGATTGATGAAGATGTAGTAAAGTACCCCCTGGATAGACATGCAGGAGGCTAGTTAATATCAATGGAGGTTACAATGAAAACACTCGGTTTCGAAGAAATGTCTCTGGGGGAAATCACACTATCCAGCCCAATGCCAGTAGAGAAACGTTTAGTTCTTACAACCATAGATCTTATCATACACAAGTGCAAATGAACTTTCTTCGTCATGTTTGAGTATTGGACTTTCGATATACATAATTGGAGTATTTTGCTCCAACTTGACAGAAGATCGTAACTGGTTGGGTAGCTAAGTGGTTATAGTGCTTGCCTAGTAATCAAAAGGTCGCCAGTTCGATCCTGAGAAAGTCAGTAGCTTTTTGATGGTTCGAAACTGGACCCAGCTGTTTCCTGATCATTGAGCTTTAAATAAATGATCCTGACTAATGAAAAAGCTGATCTTAGTCAGTAACAAAGCTACACAGGTCATCACAAACCATTTTACACTCATCCTTCACTCATATTTGGATTAAAATACGCACCTTGGCGTCCCCATCTCAATGATTGATAATTGATATGAAAGGCAGGCCAGGGCCATTGTTTTGACGCTTTAATCATCAAAATCAGTCAAAAAATGTGGTATGAGTCCTGTTAAAATCGAATTAGCGTATCTATATTTATAAAAGAGGAAGTTTGTATATATATTTGAACGTTATGGACTCCGAATACGCTCGATAGATTGTAATGCATTATTTATACATATATTTAATACGCTAGACATATTTTTGTCATTATTGTTTTGGAGTGGTGGTGCTACCAATCACAATGTCCAAGGTGTCGTTAGAAAGGTCTTAGCATGTAGTTTTGCCATAAAAAAAAACTTTGGAATTCCATCAGGGCTCTGCCCCAGTGGCCTTCAAAGTTCCCATGTTATTATTAGGGAGAAAATGTTTGTTTACATCTGAACAGATGAATACTTTGAAATTGACATTAATATTTGAAACAGCTGGTTATACTAAAATTTTGCACAAAATCAAAACACAACCAAAAAAACGTTTGAAATAATGTACAAACCTACAGAGTTGGGGGAATGACGGTCAAAGAAACCACTAGGAGGTTACTCCGAAGGATCTTCACCAATAACTTAGCCCAAAATTACAGCTCTTTTGGCTTTAAGAAGAAGCAGGTCGTTCAAAAGGTCTCAAAGTCTTGTTTAAAATTAGGTTAAACTTGCCTTCAAATAAAAATAAAATACTTTATATGTTTAGTTTAGTTCTGAATATTGGTAGGTGTTTAAAGTCATTTTCCTAATTTACTGTTTCTAACAGCTGGTCTTATATTAACTATTTTATATCATGTTTACTTTTTGTACTTTTTTACTTTGTACTTTGTACTTTTGTACTTTTGTTCAGAAGAAATACAGTCCACTAAAAACATTATTTAGTTTTTTTGTTCTCTATTTATCTATCTTCATCTACATTTTAATCTAAATTATTCATCTATCTAAATTCTTTAATCATTAGCAATGCGAACTGTATTAACGTGCACTTAGTTTCATCATCTTTTTGTTGGTTCACTTCATGGAGTTCGAATTTAATTACAAACCTAACACTTTTCTCTGTGCGGCTCTTCTAGAGGGCAATGCAAGAGCTAGGGTAAAAGAGAACCAGTCCTGGCCAGAAAATAGAATGCTTTCTCGATTATCTTCAATCAGCGCTTTGTATATCCATACGGAACCTGCACCCCCGGCCCCCCCGGCCTAAAGTCGCCGAGTCTGTCCTGAGAGCAATTGATTACAACCTCAAGCCCAAAGAGAAAACCATCACCATCGGAGGGTACAAGCTGAACTGGGCAGCATGGAACGACGAGACCGCCCCATATCCTTTCGATCAAACCACTGGAAACTTCCACCCCGGGGAACCTCACAGGATGTTCAAGATCATGCTCAAGAACAATATTGAAACAATCACCAGGATGGCTAACAGTTCTGTGCAATGTCACTTGTCCATGAACTGCGATGTGTTGACGAAGGGGAAGCAAACTTGGTGTCCTCTTACAAGGAGAAGCGTTCCAAGCTCCACTGCATTTCAAGAAATGGAGGGCTTTTTCAAGCTGAACCTAGGAACTTCTACAATCAACTGTTTTGAGTGGATACAAAACTTTTTTCGCTGCATGGAGCTAGACACTCTCAAGATCATCAAGCACGGAGAGAGAGTTGTCTACCGAACTAAGTACGACAAGGTTCATCATCAGAAGATCAAAAGGGCCAAAGGACAAAGAGACTCCACACAATCACTGAAAAAGATGAAATCAGAAAGTACATGTTCAACCCTCTCACGCCAGTTTTGCTCTTACATAAAACATTAAGAGAACGTGCTAAACTGAAGAGACGCGCCATTGCTTCGCCAAACATGATCAAGCGAATGATGTTTAAAATCATTGAACAGTTTCACCTAGACTTGGGAAAGTCTCTCGAGGGTTCGACCATCAGCATCGGAGGTGAAGAAAAGAAGAAAAAGATTATCAAGAACCTGAATTCTGCTGAATTCTGCAGAGATCAACTGTGGATCATCATTTAAGCTTCAAGCCACTCAGGACACCACTAAGTGGAATGAGTGTTTGTCCGCTGAAGCTTTCACGATGATGCATCAGACTTTCTTCGATGCTGGTGTTAGAAAATAAATGGACCTGCCTGCTGCAACTGACTCTGAGGAGCTATTCCTGAAAGTATGCAGGGCTTCCCATTGGATTTTAGCCAATAAGACCATAACCCTGGGGGACGGGCCAACTGCAGTCAGTGAAACTCGAACCAATCGCTTGAGGTGGTGCGAAGAACACTTGGAGAGGATGAATGAGGCAACACAAGGTTGTTTCCGCAGGTGCATCCCCATCTTGCATGAAGACAGGGCCCTAGTTGCATCTCCTGGCATGCTTATGGGGATGCACAGCACAATGCGGCTAGCACCGCCCTGGCCCTGGCTGCAACAATGTATAGGCCGAACCCAACAACCACCAAAGTGGTGACCTTGAGATCTTCAGATGACTCTATGACTCTCTATGACTCCAGAAAAAGTCCTGAGCTTGTAGATGCTATCGAAATGGACAGAAGAAGCTTGAAGATGCTATGGGTAAACTTGAGCCCTGACAAAAGCTTCTTCTTTCAAGCAAAGTATGGGGAGTACTATTCCTGGTACCAGAACGACACATTTGTCTCCCAATATGGCGTTGAGACTGGGTCCCTAAGGACACAAGGGAAGAACCCCTCTGACGATTTTTACTCCATCGTCAAAACCTGCCAAGTAGCCCAACTACACAATACCATCAACCTTGGGACTGAGTTGTGGCTACGAGTAGGGATCAGTAACGTGAGGAGGCTTTACAGGATTAAGTACAATCCAAACAAGAGGCCAGGGATCCGTGGCAGCATTCTCCTTCTTTCAGACGGAGGATTGAACCCTTGGGATGTAACAAATTGTCATCTAGAAGAGATCTCCGTAAAGGAAAGGTTTGCCCAAAGCCCAGAGGAGAAGACTTATATCCTAAGAGTCTGCAACCCCGAGAACCCCTTCTCATCGAAAGCCGAGGAAGAAGTGGCGTATTCCAAGGAGACAGGTGACCTGGTCCTGACAATCCCTGAAAACCCGCGGAATGCATTCACATACCTCAAGAGATCCAGCAGGACAATAACGAACATCAAGGGGAAAACTTTTGAAGCCAGGGAAAGGGCCAGCGCAGAAGTGCTCAAGATTGTTAACATGGCTGATGCCACAACCCAGCTTAGAGTACCCTCTTCCAAGCACACCATCGCCGTCCATGTAAAATCTTGTATTTCGCAAATGTCCGCCGAGTGTCAGCTTGAGGAGAACGAGCAAGAAATGTTCAACCAAGCCCTCATGATCCTTGAACAAGGCCACCAGGGTCCTGGGTCATCGGACGAATACGAAGACCCAGAATTGGGTGAGATGAATTGGAAAAACATTTAAGTGTCATTGATGGCACCAATTGTTGTTTTTTGGTAAAAAAAAAACAAAAAAAATAGATAATGATTCTTAGTGGACTGTATTTCTTCAACTGAACAAAAAGTAAACATGATATAAAATAGTAAGACCAGCTGTTAGAAACAGTAAATTAGGTAAATGACTTTAAACAGTAGGTAAACAAAATATTTGGATTCTAATGTGGAATAAAATTACCATTCATTATTTGAAATACATACAGTAACCAAAGAATTTGTTGGTTTGAATTATTCCTTGTGATGTACATTAATATAAGATACAGACTATTAAGTATAAATTTGTACAAAATATATGAACACAACTATTGAATCATGTTTATTTCTTAATAATGAAAAGTAAACATTGAATTATTTACAATATGAAATTAAATCAGTCATATGATAAATATTAAAATTAAATGAGAGAGTTTAAAATATATAACAATTCCTCCCCACTTATTTGAGAGAAAACTCAATTACAAATCCATCCTTTTGATGGGTTTCCTGATTCTCGTTGATCGGCGAATCTTTAGGGCATCTGGTTGTGAGTATGCGGCGTTTTGTTGTCTGCTGGTACTCGGCTCCTGGGCCTCTTGTTGTCTGCTGGTACTCGGCTCCTGGGCCTCTTGTTGTCTGCTGGTACTCGGCTCCTGGGCCTCTTGCTGGCTGCTTGTACTTGATACTTCCTCGTCATGTATAGGACTTTTTGTTTCAGTATTAAGCATAAAGTTCACTGTAGGACTCGATGTTCCAGAGACTGCAGTACCTTCCCCGCATGAAGTGCTACTTACGAAATTTTCAGTATCATGTGAACTTTCTGAATTGCCTATCAATTTACTTAACATACCGTATCTTGATTTTCCCACAAATGGTGGTTGTCTTGTGCAACTTTGATTGGTGTTTCGGAATATGAAAGTTCGATGTGTTTGCTTAGGAGGTACTTTAGCTATTTAGTCACATCGTCTGTTTGGACATCCCTGCTTTGTTTGGGGCAATGAGCTAAGTAGAGGGCTTTTGTAAGAAGCAGAATCTTTTGGCACTTCACAAGCTCGAAGTTGATTGAAATGCCGTTTGATTACATACCCTTCATCCAGTTCTACAAGGTAGTGAAGTCGCCCTAGTCTTTCCACCACAGTTCCAAATTTCCACAGATTTGAGCCTGCATAATTTCTTGACTGTACTCTCTCGCCAATATTGTAATGCTTGTTAAATAATGGTTGTTGAGCCTCATTTTTGTCATCTTCACTGGGCCTTAAGAGATCTAGCTTTGTTCTCAAGTTCCTGCCAAACATTAATTGTGCTGGGGATGCACCAGTACTTAGTGGTGTAGCTCGGTACCGAAATAATAGTGCACATAGTTTTTCATGTAGAGTGCCCGGTTCAAACTGCATGCACCTCAGTTTTGTCTTGAGTGTTTGGCAAAATCTTTCCGCTTGGCCATTTGTAGAGGGGTTTCCTGGTGCAATGAATCGTTGTCTTATTCCTTGGCGTTTGCAGAATGCTTGAAACTCTGCTGATTTGAAAATTGTAGCATTGTCACTGACCAATATTTCTGGTAGGCCATGGTGACTGAATATTTCTCTCAGGTGATGAATAGTACTGGCAGTTGTTGGTGCACTTTTCATTGGATATATTTCTGGCCACTTTGACCTAGCATCTACAACAATCAAGAAGTTGTGATGTAGAAAAGGTCCTGCATAATCTATGTGGACTCGCTGCCAATTGCGTTTTGGTACTTCCCAAACATGGGTAGGAGCCTTCTCTGGATTTTTCTTGTTCTCACAACATGCTTTACAACTTGCTACCATACTCTCAATATCTGTATCAATATTTTTCCAGTAGCAGTAGTTTCTTGCTAGACTCTTCATCCGCACTATTCCTACATGAGTTGAATGTAGTTCTTGAAGGATTTTCGGTTGTAGCTTTTTTGGAATAATAACACGATTTCCTCTAAAAATAATTCCATCTTGAAGTGATATTTCTGGATCAGCCACTTCTCCATTTAGGAGTTTTTCCTTTAAACGAGAGAGTTCTTCATCAAGTGATGTTTCTTTTTCTATGTCTTTAGCCATGATTGTATCGGTTGTTATGCAGTGTATTGTGTCTCTACGAACAGTGTAATCTTCGTCAACAACATTGATAATCTCTTCTTTTATAGGTAAGGGATGTCTTGAGAGGTAATCTGCATTACAGTGGTCACTTGATTTTTTATGTACAATCTCATAATCAAATCCTGAAAGAAAATGAGCGTATCTAAGCATCCTGGATGATGTCAACAGTGGTAGTTTCTTGTCTGGATGGAATATGGTCATCAGTGGTTTGTTGTCAATGACAAGAGTAAACTTTCTTCCGTATATATAATCAAACATTTTTTTACAACCCCAATATACAGCAGTTGCTTCTCTGTCTAATTGGCTATAATTGCGCTCTGCAGCAGTGAGGGATCTACTGGCAAACACAATGGGCCTCTCTTCATTATTTGGCATTTTATGAGACAGCACAGCTGATAAGCCAACAGGACTAGCATCTGTGGCGAGTACCACGGGCAAGTCTGGGTTGTATGGAGTAAGAACTGTGTCGCTTGCTATTTGTTCTTTTACACAAGTAAATGCTTTTTCACATTCCTGGGACCAATGAAAACGTTTGTCTTTCCTTAGAAGCTGATGTAAAGGGTTAAGCAGTGTAGATGCATCTTTGATGAACTTCGAATAGTACTGTACTAGTCCAAGGAACTGACGCACTCCTGTGATATTTGACGGGCGCGGAGCATCCTGGATTGCCTTCACCTTTTCTGGTGATTTCTGAATACCATCTTTGCTGATGATATGACCCAGATACTGCACCTTTCTCTCAAAAAACTTGCATTTTTCAACATTCACATGTAGATTGTGTTGTTCTAATTTTTCTAACTTCTTTATGAGCCTAGATTTGCATTCTTCAAAAGTACTGCCTTGTACAACAATATCATCGAAATAAGCAACTGTCCCTTCAAGGTTTTGTACTACTTGGTCAATAAATTTATGAAATTCATTTGGAGCTGTCTTGATTAAAAAAAAATCTTTTGGCTCGATATGTACCCTTATGTGTGGTAATTGTTTGGATTTTAGAACTTTCAGCGTCCACTGTAAGATGTAAATAAGCCTTGTAAATGTCTAACGTGCAAAAATAGTTTCCATTTCTCATTTTGTTAAGGATATCCTCTATTCTTGGTATTGGATAGCGACTGTCATGTAGTTGTTGGTTTACAGTTACCTTGTAATCCGCGCAAATACGGACCGATCCATTTGCTTTTGGAATCACAACAATCGGTGTACCCCACTCAGATTGATCCACTTTCTCTATTATGTCTTCCTTTTCCAGTTTAAATAGTTCGTTCTCAACAGCTTCTCGAAGGGCGTGAGGTACCGGTCTGGCTTTCAAATACACAGGTTTTGAATTATCCTTTAGTTTTAAAGAGCATGTGAAGTTGGGGGTTTTACCAATACATTGTTCAAAAACGCTTGAGAATCTTTGCTTGATGGATTTGATAACAGTGTTTGTATTAACCTCTGGTTTCTTCATACTAACAAGATTAATGTTGTGTAAGTTAATTTTTAATTTTCGGATCCAATCCCTTCCAAGAATAGGATTTTTAGGTAGATTTACAATGTATAGATCTTCTCTGCAAGATTTCCCTTCATATCTTATGGTTAGGGTACAAACCCCAATTGGTTTGAATATTTGTCCAGTATAAGATCGAAAAAGAGCACTTGTTTTGCAAACTGGAACATGTAAGTCTAGTTTCTTGAAGTCATCATTGTTCATTATGCTAACACGACTTCCGGAATCACACTCAAAACGTTGTTGTTTACCATTTAGAGATACGTTTACCATCATTCTGTCATCTCCTTCATCATTATTCAATACATTTATAATCCGTTGAACGTCGTATTCATATTCAGAATCAATTTCATCAACTCTTTTTACATTTTTGTCTGAAGACTGTATTTCCTGAATTCGTTTTGTTATACACACCTTTTCTATGTGTCCATCCTTATGGCAATATCTGCAATTTAGTTCATCTATTAATCGACAGTTTTGTGTTTCGTGGTTATTCCTTCCACAGTGTAAACAGACATCTGAAAGTCCTAGTTTTTGTAGCCTTTTGTTTTTGTTGTCTTTCTTTTTGCTTGAGTCATATGAGACTTTACCGTTGGTTGAGAAATGATTGTTTCTAGGCCGGATTTTGTTCTTGGTTGTTTTACTGATTTTGTAAATGTCATTCTGATTATTACTGGCTGTATATAAATTATGGTTGTCAAGTTTTGAAGCCTCTATAGCCAAGGCGATTTCTAAGGCTTTTTCAAACGATATTTCACCCAGTTGTAAGAGTCTTTCTCTGATATTTGAGTCATATAAGCCTCTGATGAATTGAGCCCTGAGCATGAGGTTTATAACTGATTTTGTGCATTTTCCGTCTTTACATCCAGATTTGAAATCTGCTGAACAAGCCAGTGGTTTGAGGACTGTAACATAATTTGTAATTGATTCATTCCTATCTTGTAACCGTGATAAGAATTTATGCTGTTCTGTAAGCATGTTCTTCTTTGGGCTTAGGTGCTCATTTAGTAATATCAGTAACTCTTGGTATGTTTTTGAGTCTGGTTTGTCTGGAGATGTTAGACTGCAGATCAGATTGTAATGCTTAGCACCTAAGCAATTGATTAAAAATAAACCTTTCAAGTGTTCATTCTCTGAATCATTATCTGTCAATCCTTTTATTTTAAAAAATATTTCTAAACGCTGAGTGTAGCTTTCAAACGTTTCCTTATCTTCATCATAAGCATCAAACTTTAATGCATTGCTTTGTAGTAGTTCCTTGGTACTTTGTCTTGATCTAGGCTGTTCTGTTTGTTGTGTCATTAATGTCATAAAATTGTTTAAGGTAGATATAAGATCTTGTATTTCAGTCATTTTCTTCCTCGTCGCCAAATAATTAAGTATAAATTTGTACAAAATATATGAACACAACTATTGAATCATGTTTATTTCTTAATAATGAAAAGTAAACATTGAATTATTTACAATATGAAATTAAATCAGTCATATGATAAATATTAAAATTAAATGAGAGAGTTTTAAATATATAACACAGACATAGCACGATGCTCATATAAGTTATTGTCTGGCTGGTCGAAAATGGTTCTCTGGTTTCTAATGGGTTGTTATTGACCCATTAGAAAGCCGAAACTCGATTTCGTTAGCCAAATCTTCACCAATAGCTTTTTTTGTTTGAGGTCGTATTGTGAACTATTTAAATGCACAAAAAATATTTACAAGCATGAATGTAATTTAGTGAACAATAATTGTTACATTATTCCTATTTCAAACTTGAGTGGTAGTAAAGATTTGTGTCCGCTACCTACGCCACATTGATCTCTCTTTCTCGCATCTGTGAACTACCTATTTCTTTTGCTACTATAAAAGAAAAATACCCCCGCAACAGAAATACAAGAGTCATAAACCTAAACTCATCTTAATACATCAAGCTTTTGACTCGACTTCGATTTAATAAGAAGAGGCTCAAACAAGTCCAAATACAAGAGTCAAAAACCTAAACTCATCCATCAAACTTCCGACTTCGATATACAGTAATAAGAAGAGGCTCAAAGTCTCTTCACAACAACGTAAAGTAGTGATTTTTATTAAGTTGGGATTTTATAGAAGCATCCCAAGTCTAAGAAATGGAAGGTCTTAGAAAAGCCTGGTGAGTACAAAATGTTACAATAGGTTGTTAACCAAATTAAGTGCACATCCACTAGTTTACGAATGGTTTACCCAGGTATAGTACTTCCAGTTTTCTTGTTTCAGAACAAAGGTGCTTTAAATATTTTGGATTCCGAACAGTATGTAGTTCATTAGACGTATATCGCATGTGTTGTCCTGCAAATATAAAACTTATATATTTATATTGATTGAAAAAAAAATCAGGCTTAGGCAAAATTTCAAGGTGATTTTTTTATAATACACCTGCAGCTTATTATTTGAAAATGTCTAATCCTTTTTATTTGTATCTTGGATCGTCAAAATTTACAAACAAATCTTTATGTTTACTGTGTTATATAAAAAAACTGTTTAAATATTGTAAACTATATAAAGTACGTGTCACTGACTTTATGAGCTAAATATTAGATTTTCCATACAAATTATTTTATTTAACGAGTTTATATTCCTAATATTTTATGTACATTTTTGTTTCATAAAACGTAAAGTGTGACTGTTTAGCCAAACTTGCACACCAAGGAAGTGTTGAGGATATACTATGGAGGCCAGTATTAACAGTTTTCTACTTTTATATTTTGCTTTAGGGAGGAGAATCGAGCCTTGCTGTGCGTTGGAGTAGTCGTCTCCCTGGTCTCCATCGGGATCTGGGCCTGGGGCAGCTACAACAGGGACCCAGATCCGTCTCCTCCACCTTCCCCGTATCCTGACTACCTCATAGGGGGAAGGGCTGGTAATCCTCAAGCCCGAGAGGAGGTCACGGCCATAATTGAACCAACTGCCTAAATTATTGTAACTAATTGTAACTAAATTGAAAATAATAAATTATTGTGATTGTTTAGTATTTAGAAGGAAAAAGGAACTAATTAATTCAAAAGAAGAATATTTATTTTATATTAAAAACAAATGGTAATGCCAAACGCCAAAGCCACAGAACCCAAGTCCGTTTTATCTTCAGACAACAATCTTATCGCTCTATTCATGTCATTGTCCTTATCCCTTGTCGTTCGCCTCAGACAGGTATCCTGGTCATTCTCTCTCTGTCCACGGCCCTATTAATATGGTCTAGTACCGGCCACCTCTTTTAATCTCATTTCCATTTACATTATTTCATCAAGTTGTTTCAGTTTTCATTTTTATTGCAATTAATATTGCCCAATCTTATTCTGAAGTTATTTTTGTTGTTTTAGTGACAAGTAGTATTTTTATTTGCGTTTTATTAACTCACGAATCATGCACCATCAAGTAATCAAAGTGTCCTGTGCGGTGTCGCGACTTCCGTGTAATTAAAGTGGCCACGAACAATAAAAGACTTAGCGTTACGTGCGAACATCAAGCCTTCAAGCAGAAAGAAGAGCGAAAATCGTCTCATCCAACATCCAACTACCAAGGGTTCGTCACAGCGCCGACACTAATCTGAAGTTCAAATACGCCATCTTTCCCACTTCCCCCTACGTCTGCACTGGAGTTTGTAAAGGTACATGTTCTCAAGTTTCTTATTATTTTCCGCAATGTAATTTGCGGTGGTCCTTCGTAATTTACCTATGAATAATCACTTTTAATATTCAATTTTTAAATAAATACACTCATACGTAACAGTGATATTACAATTCTTTTTAATAACCGTCAATATTACATTATTATACCATAGGAGAGTGAGCTGTTCTAGTGGTAGGAGGCTTGGTGCCTTTGTGCCCGAGGTTTTGGGCTTAAATCACGCAAATCACCAATATATTTTATCCATGCGATAATGCCGCAACGCACTAGGACTGACCTGATGTAAAACAGTTTCGGGCTGGAACCTAGCGTCTTAGGATGTGAAGGTAAGACATTAAAATATTTTATTTTACTTCAACAATATATTTACAGTCTTGTGAGTAAAATTGTAAGTGCAAATTTATGTTTTAAATGTGAGGCTGTTTGACACATTTTCTTTTATTTACTTTCCAATTAATTAATGTAATAATGCATATATCCAAAGTTATAAATAAAAAAAACCTGTATTTGTTTCCCCATCCATGCAGGGAAGACTTTTTACGGGATACATAAAGGCAGATTATTCAAATTTCCTTTCTTAACATATTGTGTAGGCCTAGATGTGTCAATCAAATTGTGTTTTTTGTCGTAATAATTAGCAGCGATGTATTACGAATCTGATTTACGGCACTAATTCGTGGTCGAGATCAATCTTTTTTAGAGACTGTGAATCTTGGTGACGTTCTGTTCTCTAATATTTGATTGTTTTCATGTTATCTTAAAAATGAGTCAGCATAATAGTTCTTTATTGGTTTGTGGTAGACATTATGCAAACGTTTAACATCGCTAATAAAGATGACGGCGCTTATTACTTGTTTTAAAATCTCCTCTATGTAGACTTAATAAAAAAGTCAGTTTTAACATTGACTGGTTTTAATTTGTATTCCTTATACATGATAAAAAATGGCTTATAAATATTACCGACAGTTTTCTACGTTGTTCGTGATATTATTTTAACACAGGCTTACAACTCATGGCACAGCAGAAATCTAACCCTTGCAAGCGGGAAGGGTGAAGAGAGGGATATATTAATGATAGTACGCAGTTTGTATCAAGGATTAGTGAATGACGAAAACTTTTTACTGACCGCGAGGTGCTGCTTGGAAAAGATTGTTTTGATAGTAAAGGATTGTTTGATTGTTCCTACAAATTAGGAAGTCTTAGGATTTGTATGAAACAGTTGAGAACTTAGCAGTGCCGAT